CATTTGTGTACTTTGAACTACAATAACACCAGTAAATATTATTTCCACCCGAAAAAAATAATACCGTTATGATCAGGAGTAAGACCCCTATCGATCCTAATATTATTATTTTTAATAAGAGCAATATATGTACGTATTGTACACTTATACTTCCTAATTATACGCACTTATTTGTGTATTTTTTTAACGTATGGTAGCATACATTTTGTGTTACTGTCAGCCATTGTTATTTCTGCTTGTTTGTGAAATGTGCAAACGTTTGTGAAAACATTTATAAACGCGTTTTACTTAATTAATTAATTAAGAATTGTATATTTTAAACGCAAAAGGTTTTATTTTTTTTATTTTAGGATTGTAAAAGACACAATTTAGACGGCGTGCTTCTGTCTCGAATGTTCGCAGAGTAATAATTTTTATGTTAACATTCACAATAGAATTATGTGCTGGAGACGAAAAGGAATTGAAAGAAGTAGAGGAGTAAGAAAAGGAAAAGATGTGCGATAGGCAGGGTTGCCACCGAGCAAGACAGTTGCATACGGGAAAACAGCGATAGGAAAGAAAATGCTAACAACTCGGCCAATCTGACAGTTGATCGACCTCGATCAATAACTAGATTTACAATGTGGCTTAACCTGAATTATACACACTTAAGTTGTTTCGGATATCACAAATAAGAATTAACAGTCTTAAGTTACAAGGCCTAAGTCTAGGTTATAGTATTGCTTTACTCCTCGACAGGTCCAGCCTCTACGTTTTGCTTAAGCCATTTCCTCATTCTATTTGCCTCTACCACACCATCGTATGGTAGCTGAGTTAGTTGACAATTCTCTATGTCCCGGATAACGTATCGATCATTCCCGAGAATTTTGTATACCACATATCGTCCCCTCAATATAACAATAGCGTATAATTTTTTTTGGGTTTTGAGAAAATCGAGTTTAAAGTTTTTGTTTTTTTTTGTTTGAAGGAAATTTTTGAACAAGAAATTATACACCATTTTTTCCAATGACATTTTGACCCACTTTGTGGAAGTAGAATTTGACGAAATTTTGACCAGACATAGAATCAATGATGGAGATTCTAAATATGCAATAAAAAAATAATGGCGTATGAGCACATACGCTATTGTTATATTGAGGGGACGATATGGTCCCTTATACTTGGGAATTAGTTTTTTGTTAGTCCCAGCGGTGGTGTCAACGTTCCTTATGACTACGAAGTCACCCACATCGTACTTCTTAGCTTCTACGCAATGTTTTAGAAAATATTCCTGGCTATACTCTTGGTCCCTTATACTTGGGAATTAGTTTTTTGTTAGTCCCAGCGGTGGTGTCAACGTTCCTTATGACTACGAAGTCACCCACATCGTACTTCTTAGCTTCTACGCAATGTTTTAGAAAATATTCCTGGCTATACTCTTGAGCGCTTTGAATTGCTTCAGCGGCATCCCGTCGGATGCTCTGTAAATGCCGTACTTCTTGTCTGCCAAACTTGTTATCGAAATATTCCGTAAACTCATCCACTATCCCTTTTGTTCCACACCAAACAAGAGCATACTGGGGGAATTCTTTGTGGAGCTGTGAACTGAATTATTTATTGCATATTCTACTTGCAAGAGCCTATTCGACCAATCGGCATGATCTATGGGGTCACACAGTTTGCCTAGCATCGTTTTTATTACCCTATTAACCCTTTCAACCTGCCCGTTGGCCTGTGGGGAGGCAACCGCAACCTTCACATGCTCTATATTTCTTCGAAATAGAAACTCTTTAAACTCTAACGATGTAAAGCAAGCACCCCTATCAGATATAATTCGTCTGGGCCTACTATAATAACTGAAGTATCTCTCCACTTCCCGAGTGCTCGTTGAGTTCGTCGGGTATAGTTTCACAAACTTAGTAAAACTGTCGATCACGACCAGTATATGCTTTCTCTTAGATTTTAATGATGGTAAGGGACCGAAATGATCTACATGCAAGGTGTCAAACGGTACTGGCCTCTTAGGGATACTATATAAGTGCCTCTCACTCGCTCGAACTGGTTGCGCATACATTATGCATTTAAGGCAATTACCAATAAAAGACTACTTTCCGACGCATTTGAGGGAACCAATAATGGCGACTAATTTTTGAACAACTTTTATCAACAGCTTGGTGTCCGATCTTCTCATGCATCAACCTTATGATATTATCCTCCATCTCACTTGGGATATACAGAACTTTACATCCTTTGCGATTAATCTTAAAAACAAGACCATTTTCTAATTCAAATCCTTCGACAACTCCCTCTTGTAATTGATGTCGTATGTTTTTAATTTTCTCGTCCCTTTCCTGAGCAACTTGGACTTGGAATTCAACCTCATCAACATCTAAGGCCGTGCCGACTTGGCAGCGACTAAGTGCATCTACATGCCCCATGAGAACTCCACTACGGTGTACTATCTTGTAATTATATGCTTCTAACTCAAGAGCCCACCTAGCTATTCGCGCATTAACTTGTTTCCTTTCTAGAGTCGTGGCGAGTGAGTTACAGTCAGTAACTATTTTAAATGGGATCCCCTCCAAATATACTTTAAATCTACGTAACGCATAAATTACAGCTAATGTCTCCAACTCAAAGCTGTGGTATCTGGCTTCCGCAGCGGAGGTACTCTTAGAAAAATAAGCTATTGGGTGAAACTTCTCGTCGTGTTGCCGTTGCAACAAAACTGCACCAAAGCCAGAGGTGCTTGCGTCACAATGGAGTTCTGTTTCCTTTGTAGGATTATAGATCGCAAGAACTGGAGATTGCGTTAGCTTGTCTTTAAGTTGCTCAAATGCGGTGATACAGCTTTCGTTGAAATCGAAATCAACACCCTTTTTTAGCAAATTTAACAATGGCCTAGCAATTTTGGACAAAGACGGCACGAATCGGCGGAAATATGAAAATAAACCTATGCAAGAGTGTAATTCCTTTTGGTTAGATGGCACTGGATATTTCCGTATATCTTTGACGTGAGATTCACTTAAAGTGATTCCGACTGGGGATACAGAGTATCCCAGGTACTCTATCTGAGTATACCCAAACTTGCACTTTGATAAATTTAGTTTTAAACCTCGTCTACTAATACGTTTCAATAATGTCATCAATAAAGTTTTATGCTCTTCGAGAGTTGCAGTGGCAATTAATATATCATCCATGTAGATGATAATTTTCCTTGCGTCCACTAAATCTCTAAATATGTCGTTTATGAAACGCTGAAACACAGCCGGGGCATTTTTAAGTCCGAACGGCATTTTAAGATATTCATACTGTCCATTCGGTGTCACGAACGCAGTGTATGGAATGGACTCCGGTGACATACTAACTTGGTGGAACCCATTTTTTAGGTCTAAAACAGAAAAAATATTCTTACCCTCGAGATATTCTATACAATCCTCTATGAGTGGCAGAGGGTAGTTATCTCGTACGGTTATTTTATTCAGACCCCTATAATCAACACATAAGCGCTTCTGGCCACTCTTCTTCCTTACAAGTACTATTGCTGAAGCGTAAGGAGAATTACTCGCCCGTATAATCCCATCCCTTTCTAAATTTCTTACAATATCCTGGACTACAGTACGATCGGCAAATGATAAACGTCTAGGCGCACAATAAAACGGCACATCAGTTGTTAAGTGAATCTTCATTTCGTATTCTACTGGCTCTACCCTAAGATCTTTCGGATTTATATACGAATCGAACACTAATCTACTTAATTCGGCACGCTGATTACGATTTAGCGCAAAGTCTATATCCAACTCTTCGTTTTGGCTATCGATTTCAATATTGAATATGTCCGGCAATTCGACGGATACCTGCCCGCTGGGACCAACATTCCCACTCGTACCGATCATGTCCCCGGATTTAATGTTATTAGGTGGCGCATAAGCTTTTAAGAGGCTAAACTTGTTTAAGATTTCGACCAGGTCATTCGACAAGGGAGTGCAAAGAGTGTTCTTATATATCAATAAATTGTCTCTCGTATATTTACGTTTTATTTTAGCTAAGCGTATGTTAAACTGCTTCAAAAAATCTCGTCCAAAAATAACAGGTACTAACATTTCATTTTCTGGCAATATATTTATTTTGATATTTTTTACTTCATTTTTAAATTTCACAGAACAAAGGACTTGACCCAATATTTTTAGTTTTAATCCACCAATGCTGCGGTAAGTATGTTGTGGCTCTCGTAAAATTTGGCAATTATTTGGCACACACGATTGCTTCATAAAGCTAGTTGGACTACCGGTATCAAAAAGGGAAATGAATTTATTAAATTTCGCACTCTCTTGTCGATTGGTCTCAAAAGCAATACTTACAAAATTGAACGATTCCAGCTCGGTGAGGTCGTTTTCGTAAACGGCAGCAACTGGTTGGTCGGCAATCGGCTTCAAAATTTTCCGTGGATTGGTGCATGAATGATGGTCGTGACCCATCTTCCAGCACGGGAAGCAGGACCCATTCGGACGCATCGGATACGGGCAGTTTGGCTTTATGTGGCCCCTCTTGGAGCAGTTAAAGCATAGTGGCTGGCTGTTTCCTCCAGACTCGGCAGTAAGCTTATCAGAGGCTGACGATTTGACGGGAACGGCAGGTTGCTTTGCGGCAGCGGCAGGCATCATACGTCGAACAGTACCAAAATTTGGCTTGAGGTATTTGGAATAGTAGCGATTCACTAGCCTCTTCAGCTCGTCCAGTGATTGTGCTGGCATAAGCAAATTTATATTGTTGATTTTATTCCCGATCCCATCAAAGATCAAGTCGATGACGTCAGTTTCCTGGACACATCCACGTTTCGCCAGAGCCTGCATAGTCAATATGTAACAGTGCAGTGATTCTTCTTGGGGCTTCCACTTCCTTTCGCTCAACATTCTGTAGACGTCGTGGCGAGTAACTGCACTGTCGAACTCATCTATAACTGCCTTCCTCAAATCATGATAGTTGAGTGCAGATGTCGTCGTTAAAAACACTCTCGCTGTTCCATGTAATGAGCGACGTAAGCTTAACAATTTAAATTGATCGTCCGCATTAACCGTACGCATTATTTCCTCGAAATCGTCGAAGAAGTGTTGAACTGATTGTGCGGTACTATCACCACTAAATTTTGGAACTGCGTGCTCAATGTCTGCGAATGAAGCTCTACAAGCACTTGGTTTGGCAATCGTAGTTTTCAGCTCATTTATTTGACGTTGCAGCTCCAATATTTCGCGCTTCTTCCTTAATTCCGTAATCTGCTGGTCCAAATTATCAGCGGTGTAGTCGTCACCGGCATTCGTAGGGCTGGATGCCGTGTTGTCAGCGCCAGCGGAAGTTTTGTCGCTGGTGTAGCTATTGGAGACGGCAAGGTTTACGGAGGCAGCATTTTCGGCATTGGCGGTAATATCGGCATTGGCAGTAATATCGTCAGCGGCGGGGGTTATAGGTTCACGAACGGTATTTTCAGCAACGTTATTTAGGTTAGCGGCAGGGGCGCTAGCGCCGGCGTCACGGCATTCGCCAACGGTATTTTCGGTAACCGTATTTTGAGCATCTCGTACCTGATCATACCGCGTGGCGTCGATTATGATGGCACCGTTGTCTGGAGCTGCTCCCTTATCCAAGTCGGATATGTTGTCGTCGTCCACCTCATTGAGCGCCTCATTTGTGCAGTGTGCGGCGTATAAACGCTTTAATTGCGCCACCGTAGCCGTCGCGGGAAAACCAACACTAGCCGCCATTAGAGCGTCGACTAGAAATTGCTTTGTTAGCCTTTGTGGCATATTCGATTTTATTACCTTTATTTAACTTTATTTAACTAAATGGGTACTTGCACCCACACCTGAAGCTTTAAACGCAAAAGGTTTTATTTTTTTTATTTTAGGATTGTAAAAGACACAATTTAGACGGCGTGCTTCTGTCTCGAATGTTCGCAGAGTAATAATTTTTATGTTAACATTCACAATAGAATTATGTGCTGGAGACGAAAAGGAATTGAAAGAAGTAGAGGAGTAAGAAAAGGAAAAGAAGTGCGATAGGCAGGGTTGCCACCGAGCAAGACAGTTGCATACGGGAAAACAGCGATAGGAAAGAAAATGCTAACAATATTAAAGTGGAAATCTCATGCCGGGGTTTTAATGTAACTATTTTGAGGAGGGTGTACATAAATAAAGTGTTTATTGTGTGAAATAGCGCCGAGAGGTTAGTTCAATTTACAAACTTTAACAACAAATAACTTAAAAACTAGAAGCCTGCTGCGGCTAAAAGTATACATATTTGCAATCAGGAGAACTCCCTCTATCGTTCCATAGCTACCTTAATGCGGAACTCCGGGGATGCCAAACTAAATTGCAGCCGAAAAATTCAACGAATTCTCGTCTAAATTTTGACCTGTTTAATCTGAGTTTTTAGAAA